TGAACAGGTAAGTCTTTTGACAATGCCCTTTGCCTTAGATTTAGATGTGCCTGTTGATAGAGAACTTGACCTTTAACCTGCTTTCACGTTTCTGAGCCCTGGCGAGATACCTTTTCACAAATGCTTTACTTTTACAAGGCCCGTGTTGCTTTACTTTTACAAGGCCCGTGTTGCTTTACTTTTACAAGGCCTGAGGCCTACATCGGGTAAAGGCCCTTTTACCGGCAGCAAGCTAACAGCAACGAGCGGGAACCGTAACACAATTGCACAAACACGGGATAACCGTAATATAGCCAATACAATAGCTACCTTTGAACCTTTCCCTCCGCCTTTTCCGCTCAGATCATTTCTTGTTAATGTCCCATCAGCTCAATCTTACGATCACCTGTCCATGGGACCACATTATACTATTTTTTTTTTTTCAGGAGGGAACTGACATTACAGCAAAGCCCACAAATGGCAGAGACACAGTGGCGTTGTCCGCAATGAAGCATAGAGAGAGAGGTGCCTGCCATTCAGTGACTGGCAATAATGCAAACACTGCCAAACAGCCATTTTTTCCAGGACTGACATGCAAACTACCTTCTTCCCCCCAGTACAACGTATGGTCATTATAGCTGTATGAAACGGTATTCACCTGTTCACAGTAGCGGATGCAGATCCCAGGGCTCGATCCTTAGTCCTTACCTTACCTGTGTACACTACCTGTGTCGACCCCGAGATTTGAACCCGTGACCTGTGTATTCGTAACAGTTGGTAGACTGTCGTAGGGTTTGTAGGTTGTAGGGGTTCGATCTGCAGACCTGTTGTTTGTAGGTCTTAGTAGGTCCTAGGAGTCGTAGCTGAAAGGTCAAGGTCATCGCTGCTACAGTCCTGAAGGGTCAAGGTCGTAGCTGCTACAGTGTCGAAGGGCCAAGTCCACAGACCTCCAGAAGGTCCGGAAGTGGCCTTCACACGTTGCTCACAGTAGGCAGAGGCAAGTGGGCAAGTGGTGGAGTCCACCTGTGCTGGGTCAGCGGTACCAGTCCCAGTCAGTCCTAGACCAGTCAAGCAAGTACCGTATGGGACTGTCTGCACCACGGGCATGGGAAGGGGCAGACCAACGAGTTACAGAAGTATAAATCAAGAGGCAGCGCCCAGCCATTCATTCATTCCATGCGGAAGCGCTGCCACAGCGACTTGTGCGAGGTGGTCTACAGTATGCCCAAAGACGAAGTGTGCCGAAAGAGAGCTTAGCCATAGCGGTAGAGGTAGCCACAGCCATAGCCGCCATAGTTGGGAGAAGGGTGTAGCGTGTGTGTGCGTGTGTGTACAGTGAGTTGCGTGTGGGATATCCAAGGTGATCCTGTGTGTGAACAGCAGAGTTGGGCTAGTGACAAACAGAGAGTTGTACAGGCGCTGACGTGCCATAGCCATCTGAAGTGAGCTTGTATCTGAACTGTGTTCTTGGTTACCATATCTTTAAGTTCTGAGTGGGCGCCTGTTACATGCTGCGCGTGCACACGCAGGCCATTTTGCAGGCCTGCGTCTGTTCAGTCTAAAAGCCTGAACTTCAGGCCGAAAGCCTGAATTTCAGGCCGAAAGCCTGAAATCCAGGGCTTACAGGCCCCCTGTCGGTTCAGGCCGAAAGCCTGAATTCCAGGGCCTGTCCCTGTGTCGTTTCAGACTAAAAATGGCTACAGCATTTTTAGCCTGAAACGAAGGGCCATTTTCGGTCGTTCATCAGAACGACCGGCCCTGAAACTCAGGCACCGAACCAGGGTTTYGGGAACAGACTATTAATAGCCTGTTTCCCACGCCAGCCTCAAGCAGGCTGCTGCACGCCAGCCCCTGGCACACTTCGGCATTGGCAAGAGCTGCCTCCTCGGCCTGACTCGCCCTCCAGTAGTCAGCAGGCAGGCCGAGGTAGTACATAGGACTTCCCAGGCACTTCCGAGGAAGGCAGTCGGCAGTTGTAGTCTTCAGGATTCGGGAGTAGAACTCTGGAGGGAGCGCTGCAGTGTAGTAGTAGTAGCGTTAGCTTGTAGTCTTCAGCGCTGGGCGCAGTAGGTAGTTGTAGTCTCCAGCGCTGGGCGCCATAGCTGGGTAGTACTAGAGAGAGAGAGAGAGTTTGGGCGGAGGCTAGAGATACCTACCTGCAGCGCCGTTGCTCCGGCTTCGTCTTCGAGGTACCTGCAGCACAGCGCCAACATCACAGGTTAGTATTTGGTTCGTAATAGAGAGAGAGAGAGTTCTTCTTCTGCTTCTCAGTCCACCATCTCTTCTCTCCCTCTCAACTTCTGACTTCACTGCATCTGCAGACTATGAGAGAAGAGATACGGAGCTTGGTGACATTTGATCCAGACTCGACTTTGGGGGTTCAGACATGGCAAYGAGGGACTATTTGGGATTGGTGACCAAGACTTGGTGTTAACGACATTCCCATCCTTCTCCCTCCTTTCGTCTGATCCTTATCTCYTCGTCTGTGTATGTCTGGACCTGGCGCTTTCTTCCTGTGTACAGYGCCAGGCTCCTTCACACTTGGTGATGGATACAATGCACGTTTAGTCTGAGTTCAAACATTGATTGGGCTAGTAAGTAGTGCTCTAGCATTCTGCTTCACTACTCTGAACTACGTGAATGAGGTCAGTCCTGTCAGGTCAGTCTTTGTATC